TGACACTGCCGCTGCGGATGACAGCCATATCCTTGAAAGGAGCTTTGCCGGAGAAGGAGTGTATCGTTTTGAAAGCATCAAGTCAAGCTTTCTTTCAGAGCAATTTTCCTGCGGTCCCCGTCCTCGCATGTGGGACGCCACTTTTGTCAACCGCAATGACGCAGAGCGCATTTCTTATCCGTCGAATCACATTCTTTCTAACTTCTCAGGCAATAACTCGTAGCCTATTCATTCTTCAAAAGTGGCCGTCAAGGAAATTCATGTGCAATCCGTTTACTTGGATACTTTATTATGTCCATCGTTACCTGAGGCTAGTTCTTAAAATCTAGTCATTATTCCTGCAAACGATAGGGCATGTGGGGCGGTGTTGCTAAGAGCAGCCAAACTATCCGCCAATTGCTGCGGACTTTGGATGGCATCGTTGAGGGTAAGGCCGCATTGGCAGCTCTCCAATCTACTCCCTGTCCGGGTCCTATCGTTTGCGAGGATCATTGATGTGCATAATAACGCTGTAGCCGGGAAATCATCCACGGGCAGGATTTATCACAGGACACATCATCAGTTGGGGATTTTGGTCGAGTCCGTCCGACCCCCTGGTTGCCTTGCTCATCCAGCTGTTGAGCGGGGAGGGAAGGTGGAGGTGAAAAACAAGCACATACTGAAAGCAGTGACTCCCCGGAGTCGCGCGCGGCGGGCTCGCGCGGAAAACCCTGTTTCATCATGTGCGTTTTCGTTTCGAAAGTACGCAAAACATCTACGCATTTCTTAACATTTCCCCCAAGTTTCCCACCATTTTTCCGGTATTCCCAGAAAATTTTTCTGAGCTTCTCACCCAAAAAAATTTTGCTGTCGAGCGAAGGCGAGGAGAGGAGTAGGGTTGTATAGTACAATGGAGACAGGAAAAACCACGAAAAGTCAGGCAACCCTCTTCAGAAGGTCAGAAGGGAAATATGACACCCCTCCCTCCTAACAATAAACAAATACAGTACGCCCCTCCTCTTGCAACGTCCGTGGAACAAGATAAATCAATTATCAAAATGAATTTTTCTCAGCCCAAATACGACCCCTTCTCGACGCAACCAAAAATCCCCTAGACTGTTGAGTTATTTCCGACAACGATCTCCGCTAGTTGGAATTAGTTGTTGCTCTTCGACGCCGGTCTTTTTGAAGGGGGGAGTGGGAGGGAAAGAAAAACTGAAAAAAAGCTCCGGAAAAACTGAGAAAAATGACAGTAAGCTAAGAAAGGTCAGAAAAGGGTAGCTAGGATCGGGAAAAAGTTGCCGTACAGAAGGAAGAAGTTACGGAGTGGATGGTCTGACACCGCCACCTCTACCCATCCCGATGCTGTACCCTGATTTCAGCTTTCCACGCATGATAAGAGGCTCCACGAAGTTCAAGTAGTTGCTCGACAGTCCAGTCGAGTCGGAAGTACAGTCATGGTCCTTGCAAACGATAGGGTGTGCGACGCGGAGCGGATTGCAGCGCGGTCAGCGCGCCTTTTTCCCACCGATGATGCCATCCTGTGCCCAATACAGCTGATGGGGTAGGTGATGTGACTGCGCTCCAAGCCATGTCCCCGTCACACGTCCCTATCGTTTGCGGGGATTGTGACTGTACACTACCTGTTTATGTTGAAGCTAGCTCCGTTTTCATTGCTTTGACACTACTGCTGTAAAATGAGAGCAAAATCCACTGCTGTACCATGATGGAGCAGTGTTTTCAGGCTGACTCCTCCAATGATGATGTTCATAGGCTTTTTTGTTGTTTTGGCCCCATTCACGAATGGACCATGGATGGCTTCCGTGCTAAATGGTTTCGGCCTGGACGATGGTGACGTGAAGAATTGCCAGAAGTACTGGTGGCGAAATATGCTCTACATCAACAACCTTTTTGGACATGAAAATGTAGGTGACCTGAACGCGAATCACAACTAGAGCTCAAGGCTGGAACGCCGGAGGTCTGGGACTGTTCGGCTTGGGAGGGGCATACTGCACCTTTGCTGTTTTGCATTGCTAATTCCTGTAGAAATACACGTCTCGTCCTCATGAACCTTGTGGACTTTTGTCAAGTGTGAATGGAGCTCCTGGTATTGCATAGCTTTGCAGATTTTCACAGGTCTTCACAGGAGGTATCCCCAGTGACTCATAGAAACCACGAAAATGCCCACACTGATTGTGAGCCGAACTGCACTGAAAAATTTTTGTTGTAAGAGCGCTCAGACATTGCAATTGCGCTCTAATGCTATGGACGGAAACACAGCCGTAAGCTCTCCATAGACTCTTATCGACTGGAGTCGGCCGCGTTTTGATAGAGTCTAGGAAAATGGGAGAGAAGGCTTCGCTTCAACACACACAGTCTGGTACCCCTTAGCCCTCCATGATCTCGCAGAAACTAGAGGCTAGCGTCGATCGATACGCACCTATGGCCATGGTACAGCATCGTGATGTGTGAAATGGTGGTTTCAGTACGACCCCTCCCCCTCGAAGGAGGGTCTTGGGTATCGGTACGCCCTCCCCCCCCCCCTCCCTCAATAGCTACTTACCATTTTCCTATATGTTCCGATTTTTCCACCCAAAATTTTCCGTCGAGCGCGCAGGGAGGGCGGGGGGGGGTATATAGTACACGTGAACCAGGAAACATCACGGAAAGTCAACAACCGGGAGAATTTTCTTCACGAACGCTGCCCCTTTCTCTCAAAAAAACATGACCCTCTAGCACCGCTGTTTCACACAATGATGCTAGCTGTACCCTGCATATAGCTGCCTTCCCGACCATAGCATTGAAGCGCTACTGAAATGGTACTGAGTCGACGACCTCGTCATCGCCAAGTCTGAACGCTTGTACTTAACAAATTAGTGTTCCTAAGCAGAAAAAACTCTTACTTGAAGGACATGAATCTCAGGAATGCTATGGAATCTTCTGGTATCTTGCCGTTGATATGCAACTCTATGTAGTCGCTCCATTACTCTTAGTCGCACTGTATCTATCACCTGTCGTAGGTATGATTAGTTTTTGCTCAAGTAATTTAAACCATAAGAAAACATTTCTTTCTGATTTCAGCTAGGAGATCGAAAATGCGCCAAAAATGCAACAGTGCTGAGGGGCGATTACTCGAGCTACCTGGAGGCCGCTACCTGTACAGTTCGTCATCGAGCTCTGCATCCTTGATAGGGGCGTGTCGGCGAGAAGGAGCGTGCACACTGTTTGAAGCCTTCTCAGCCTTTTCGTTGAAACGCGTATGCGACAAAAAGTGATAGAAAACGAGTAACACGAAGGATATAATACAGTAATGTCACTTCCTGGTTCAACGATTGGTGCAGTACGGGTGCGGGCGACCGCGCCGCACGCAGCCGCACTGACATTGACTATCAAGTGCAAGGATGACGACTGTACTTCCCCTCGAGGAGGACATGTCCCCCAGCAAACCTCTGCCCCTGCCGTTATCACTATCAATGTCACTTGTCTCCCTGCATCTGCCTGTCTATCTTTGCTCCCTCACTCTTCTCGCGAAATCTCCACGACATGTGCTGGGGGAGAGGGGAGAATATTGATTATACTCTGCGCTGTACTATATTCGCACAAGCGCGCGCCAGAAGTGTATGGATGCAAAGCGGCGAGAGCCAGAGAGACGAGGGGCACTAGTAGGGATAACGGCAGGGAATGCAGGTCTACAGGGGCATATCTCTCCTCGAGGAAGCATGCGGCACCTGATTGCGCGGCATTTTGTAATCTGCAGACAATAATGTCTTTAGAGCTTTAGAAATCCTGTCGATGATCGTCGCACCAGGTCAGGGGAATGTGTCAAAAAGAATTGAATCGGAGGCCCACCGTCAGCATTTTTCTTTAACAGGTCGCTCTCGCTAGAATTCGACTACTTAAAGGCAATTCGACGACCACAGTTTATGAAGTAATACAGCTTTAAAATAATAGAAAGCGTGTGTTTGTCTTATTGAAGAAGAAGGAAGCACGAAAAAGCGCCCGGAATAAGACCCTCTTTATTGCAATTGATCATGATCACCGGACGAGCGTAAGGTGGTCAAGATTAATTGCGAATTGCGAAAGGCGGCGATACACTGATAAAAAAGGAGAGAGGCGAGAAAGACACGGCGCGAGGAAAGCACGCAGGGCAGTCTCACACAAACGCGTCACTGGAGCGCGGCATGGGCCTATCGGCAGCCCAATAGGCTAAAACCGAGAGGCGCTGCGTTTTGCTTGCTGTTTTTTCATCCTTTTAGCAAGCAGCATAGCCTCTAACGTTGCCCGCTTGACCATCGTGCACGATTATGAGAACCTAGCCTTGGTTTATCGCAGAACGTGCCTTTGACGATCACTATTGTAATTCCAATAAACCGGCCCATTCTGCAGTTCCTTACACCTCCGCGACCAAATGAGTCTATCAGCCATATCTCCCACAGGAGTAGCTGCTGGGCCCTCCAGGAGTCTCCTTACGAATATATCTGGCAGTAACGGATTGCTCCGCTCGAATGGATGTGAGTCCTTGAAGTCGGCGAGGCGTTGGCGTCGAGCGGTCTGTTGGCGTCCGTTGAGTCGAAACTAACGCAAGCCTCTGTCGGGGCTATATTTATAGCCCGGTATCCCGCCAAAGAGGGAATTTCAAAAGCCGGCTCACTGTCGATGTGGATGGGCATTATTGCTCAGGCCTTCAGCCGATCGCCTCTACAGCTCCTTAAAAATGCCTCCTAAAAATGCCTTGAAGTATGGCGTTTGTTGATCGGGGAATGAACTCACCGCCTCAACAGGAGGTTCTTTTGAATGCTCTACATCAAGTGGAATTCCTCATCGAAATCATTGAGTCAGCAGTATTTTTCTTCTTCCTGAGAATGCGCTAGATAATCAAAGGGTTCTCCTGAGGGTCCAGCTATATTGGGATAAGAAATGAAGCGATTGAAGGTGCGCGTGGATACAACATACACGGTTGGAATACCACCGCCACAAACACTTCATTACCGTATACAAAGCATAGGTGCAAAACGGTCGCCATGAATCGAAATGATGCCCTTCTTATAGGAGCTGTGGTACTTCTTCTGTGTTGTGCGGGAAGTGTGGCCTACACCTACGCCATCACCTTTCGTGATAATCTGCCGGCTTCGGGGCTCATGGAGATGATGTTTACGTGAGACTCTCTGATTTTTGCCTCGAGCATTCTTGTAAGTGTTCAGTAGCATATTTCAGGCAATCACATTTATTTTTTAACGAGTTCTATGAAGCGCCATGGGTGCGCTGTACTCCTTATCTTATTGGATTGGGTGTTGGCTATTTGGTCGCTCGAATCGGAAGGAAAAAGCCCCGATTACACTGGGTACGATTCCATACTGAGTAATACTCTACTGAACAGAGATGAAACTGTAATTCAAATGAATGACTGGTAGATGAAATCCGTTCGCATTTAAGGTTATCGTGGTAATTATGTGGATAGTTGCGACCGCTATTGCGCTATTAGCCCTTTTTGGAGTTCACAATTACATTAAGGGAGACGATAATTGGAGGTATATTATTCAGAAGTTCAGTTAGGGACACTTCGGTAAAGCCGAGTCTTAGGCAGCGTTCAAACTTCCCGACGGTCGATGCAGCTGCAAGGATGCGAATCGAACGCACGGCCCAGGCGCTGCTGTCGCGAAGTCTGAACGCTGCTCAGAAGCCTCTTACCTCTCTTCACATGCTCACATTGATGAAGCGCTGTAAAAGTAAAAGGGACAAAGCTAGTTTAATGCTAGCTAAACTAGCGGTCGATGGCTAAACAAAACGACTTCTGAATTCTGAAAAAGACCAGTGCAAGCTGAACTATGGAGAAATTCCAATAAGCATTGGCTACCACTCCCGTATTAGCCGCAGTTACAGTCGTGATTCCCGCAAAAGATAAGGCGTGTGGCAGGACGTGGATTGAAGCGCTGCCGCGGCGACCTTTCTGTCAATGATGCTCTCCTGAATTTGCAAATTCGGTGGAGAGGCTGTTCCGTCAGCGTTTCCAACGCACACCCTTCGAATGCTAGGTCATTTGCAGGAAGAATAACTGAGGTAAGACCAGCGGCAGCTCTCCTTGTACGGTGCTGAAAGTACCATGATTCCGAGACCGATAAGCGCTATATTCGTTCTTATTTTCTTCCCCACCTCATAGACTCTTAGTTCAATTGTGAAAAAAGGACCAACGCGTATTAGATAGCTTTACATTGGTTCTCTTGCAGGATACGGCCAGTCCCCAGAATTTACCCGTACACAAGTGGATTCAAAGGTACTGAACATAACAGTTGTATTCCCTGTATAAAACCTGGATTGGTAGCGCTATACAGTGCCACAGTGAAGCAAAGACGCGGCGAAACGGGCGAAAACGCCCGCAAATGGGGTCCTTTCTCACTCCGCTCTCATCAGAAAGTGTATAAACATTGAGAGATCCGCTATGCATTGTCGTCTTTAGGCGGGGCGGATGCAAAAGAGGCGGAATGAACCCGCCTGCGGCTGTTTTGCTCTACCGGTGAATCGATCATTGATCAATCCAGGAAGAAAACCAGTGATGGAATGGCTGCCAGTGGGCTCATTCCTTCCCTCCAGCGAGCGATCAGACTGATTGTGATGATATCGACTGTAGATCATCGCTGGTCAATCAGTCAGGAAGGTCATGGCAGATGGCTGTGAACCCTACCATGGCTGGCGACAAGGAGAAAGGTCCTTACAAAGAAATACATTCTAGTGACATTATAATAGCAGAGTAGCTGAAGATTAACGGGAATCAGGTAGGAAATCAACAAAAATGTAAGATAAAATCCAGAACTCTCGAGGAAGGCACTATTTGCGAGAAAACCTTGCAATGTGCCAAAGAAAGATATTTTTCCCCAGTAGAAAGGTTTTCTTCACCAATAAGAACTTTACCTTTTTACTAGAAACTCAGGGGAACTGAAAAAGCACATTCAGCAGGTCTTGGGAAGCAATAACCGATCGGTTTCTCATGGGTGCGCCCATTCGTAGGCGGAAGGTTCCGATGGGGGGAGACGGGCAGAAGAATCGTAAATTGCCGCTTCGTCGCGCGCGGCAAGGCGCGACGTTTCCTTAATTTGCACTACCCTTTCGATTGGAGCATCGGATTTCATGTAGACAAGGACATGGTGGACACTTATGTCTATTTTGGTCATACATTGTCTATTCTCGACCAGTACCACCTAAAATAGTCGTCATTAGCGACGTAATTACATGTCGCACGCGACGCTTACGTGCGCGGCAAATTACGCTTCTATGCCACATACCCTTCG